CAAAATCCATGAACATAGTAGTCAAGAAATCAAAGGGCATGGGGCAAATCTTTGGAGAAAGACCTACTTAAAGTACTAAAGAGCAATGATATTCATTTAAAGAATAAGTTGTGTTACAGGGATTGGAGTGTGTCTCAACAAAGCACATGTATATTTGTATATAATGTTAAAATGTAAGCTATGTAATGATTCCCCTCCAAATCCTGATAAATCAAAGACTTGTAGAGGGATTAAGAGTGGATTAACCCCATTACAACCCTAACTGGATATAATTTGAGTTCCCCTTGGATGTGGCCAGTAATACCTTTTATCTCAGTAGAGGTAAAGGCGGAAGAAAGTATAGAGAATTGGTGCCTCAGTACCATCAAGAAATAATGTCAAGGACTGGAGTGCATCTTTTTTAGACCTGGGACCCTGTACAACAAAGCTCTTTGGCACTGAGGAAAGTCAAGAGTGCAAGGAGTTCTTCAGGACTATCAGGACTACAGATAAAGATGGGGAAAAGAACTTTCCTCCACAACCGACAGAGATAGAAGGCCTTGCCCTAGAACTGGCATCCTGAATTTGAAACACTAGTCTCCTAAACTCTATGAGAATAAATCTTTGTTACAAATACTTGTGGTATATTTGTTACTGTAGCATTCTATAACTAAGGTAGTGTACCTGACTCAAGCCTTGGCCATTTTCAGTTGCTCCATAAGTATGTGAAAGTTGGAAAATGAAAAGGAGGACAAAGAAGAAATGATGCCTTCAAATTGTGGTGTTGATAAAGAATATTAAATATACCACGAACTTCCAGAAGAACAAACAAATCTTTCTTGGAAGCATCATAGCCAGAATGTTCTTTGAAGGATGCAAAAGTCTGTTCTACATATTCTGGGCATGTTATCAGGAAGTATCAGTCCTTGGAGAAGGACATCATATGTGATAATGAGAGTCAGCAAGGTAAAAGTAGACGCTGCATAGATAAATTGACACAATGACTGAAAAACAGAGTTAAACACAGAAGAGATTGTGAGGATGGCATAGGATGAGGCAAAGTTTCATTTTCTTTAATAGGGTCACTAATAGTTAGAACTGACTCAATGACACCTACTAACAATAATAAAATAAGCACAACCAACCACAGCATAGCCACCAACCAACACAGCCAATTACAGCATAAGTGTACCTCTTAACCGGTATAATCAACCACAGCATAAGTATAACCATCAACCAATACAACCAACCATAGCATCAGTCTACCCATCATCCAACACAACCAATCACAGGATAAGCATAGCCACCAACCAACACAACCAACTACAGCATCAGTCAACCCATCAATCAACCAAAGCATAAGTGTACCCAGCAACCAGTACAACCAACCACAGCATAACTATACCCATCAACCAACACAACCAAACACAGCATAAATGTACCGATCAACCAACACAACTAACCACAGTATAACTATACCAAACAGCCACCAAAACTAAGCACAGTATAACTATATCCAACAACCAACACAACTAACCACAGTATAAGTACACCTAGCAATCAGTATAACCAATCACAGTGTAAGAATAGCCATCAACCAACACAACCAAACACAGCATAAATATACCCATCAATCAAAGAGAACAGGCTGGGGAAACTGTGAGTGGGAAATGAAAATGACCAGAAGATTCTTCCTACTCTAAAATGTTTTCTGCATGTCGTTGTTTCTGCGTGCCGCTGAACAGAACTGACCCACAGCTGACCCTCCAATGGATTTTCAGAGACAGTAAATTGCATGGGAGGAGATTACTCATCCTTCTCCTGTGGAGCATCTGGTGAATTTGAACTGCATGTGTTTGGGACTGCAGTGCTGTTTCTTACCACTAGGTCATTAGAGCTCCAAATGTTTCTGCATTTTAAGTAAAATCAATCTTAAACTATATATATTTTTTCTGGATAGCAATTTGAGTCAGCTACTCTAGACAGGACTGTCACTATAAATGCCCAGTACCATTAAGTTTCATTAACCACCCTATCTCAAAATCAAAGAAGGGGAAAAGTGACTAATTTGATGTCAAGTAATCACAGGACACCAAGCCCTCAGCACACAAGTGTCAGTCTCAGACATCTGCTCAATACAACTGCACAAAACTGGCTCAAAGAGGGGGAGGGGATCCACCAAAAACCAAATCAGTCTTCACTTTCCACCTGGGCTGCCAAAAAAAAAAAAAACCAACCAAAGATTGAGAAAGAATCATGCTCCTGAATCTCAGAGAATATTTATAAAAGCAAATGAAGGGAACAAATAAAGTTGATGGCTGAAAAACAATATGCAACCCACTTCCTGGTTGCCAGAGGCAAATCTGCTGCTTAAACAATAACAACATAATCTAATCAGTAAACCTCCCAGCTGCCAAAATTATACAAGCAACTTGCCTATTTAAAATGTCACATTTCCCATCTGATATAAATATTTGCCTTCTGCTCACATTCCTGAAGTGTAATGCAAATTAAGCCTAAACTGAAATTCACCTTGGCACAGAAGATTTCATTATTTTCTTTTCAAGTGACCCAGATTGTTTATTATGAAAATCGTGGAGTCCTGGTGGTCTTTGCAGTAATTGGGATGGATCACCGAAGCCTGGGTGGCTTTTCAATCTAGGTTTCTCCCCATTATTTTGCACATGGGAAGATCTTGGCTCACTGAAATCCACTGAGACTTGGTTCAGCCTCAGTAGTCTTTCATGCACAAATGCAAGACTGCCTGTAGTGTGATTTCTGGAAAAATCAAATGACCAAGATTCTTTTACTGTTTTGGTTTTGTTTTGTTTTTTAACATAAAGAAATACAGCTAGTAATAAATTATACAAAACCTAACAATGTTTACAGAAAAGCATGGAAAAGGTTAAAGGCCAATTTAAAAGATCAATATGACAAGAATCAGATAAGCTTTTCTAAGAGCTTATTCATGCAATTCTTTGGATAAGTAAATTTATATACAGACTGTCTCCTTATATACAGGAGACAAGAGATTTAAACCATCGCTAAAATGGTCAACACAGGCACTTCTGTGTCTTTCTGTAAGATTAATTTTACAATGTAAACAAACTACATGCAGACTAGAAGCATTTTTTACCATACGACATCCATAGACCTCTGGTCTCAGAATCCCCTGGGATACTGGCTCAGAAAGAAGATCCCTACATGTTACCAAAGACAATCTTAATTAGAAGCCCTTTTGGAAATAAATCTCAGGAGTCTGCATTTTTAATAAGCACTCTCTCCCGAAAAGTGATACCAAAAAGCAGTGTGCTTGTCTGGCAAAGGCAGCATGCTGACAAGTCCTTAGCTCTCCCTCCTAATCCAATTGCAGGCCCCGATGCTGCTCTCTTATGGAAATCCAGAGCCTTCTAGGGTATTAAAGTTAGAGAACCTCTCCCTGAAGGCTAGGATTCCTTTAGATGTTTGATTTCACTTGAGCCAAATAAGTAACTAAAAATCTGCAAAGTCTACCAGTTAATAGCGTACTTGGGAAACAATCCCTTCAGTGGAGTGGTGTGGATTTTTCTGAGTAAATTAATAACACTAGCTGCTTCCTTTTACCAAAGTGTCTCAAAATCCGTCAGAGAAATCAGAGCAAGGGTTTTTACTACCAATGTACAGAGAGCTGGTACTACTAAATCAGCTATACCCATTCACTTTAATCCCTGCCCAGTTATAAATAAGACCCACCCCAACAATAATGCTCATAATTAATATGTACAACTACCCAAGACTGTGAGGATGCTGAGATTGTTTCAGACTTTGGGCATGTTATCAAGAGGCACCAGTCCCTGGAAAAAAGACACCCTAGTTGGTAACGAGGGTCACTGAAGTAGATATGTGACACTGACACCCTGGCTACAACAAAGGCTCTGGCACAGCAGGAAGCATCGCAGCGGTGCAGGACGAGGTGGTGTTTTCTTTGATTGTACACAGGGTCACCATATGCTGGACTAGTGTTAGGTGTTGAAGGCACCGAGCAACAGCAACAAGAGACGACAAACAACACATCCCACACCTCTCAGGAAATCATGCCTCCCCTAGTATTTAATAACGATTTCAAGATAGTCTTCCATATTAAATCAGCAATAAGAGTTTTAAAACAAATAATTCTCATTTTAACTCACTTGAAAGGTCTTTTGAAAAAGAGAAGATGACAATATTTTGCAGAAATTTCAGCCAGGAAAGGAAACAGGTCAGTGGTCTAGTATTAAGAAATGTTCCCAGTCTAAACCATGAGGAAAAACGCTTTAGGGGGAGTTTTTATAAAATCACTTTAGTGTTTAGTTTTATATATTTAATAAATACTTCTAAGAGCAAAAATTTCAATTTCATTTTGTTTACATTCATGATGATCAATTCTGATCACTTTTATGATGAATTATTTCTGATTTGTATGATCAACTGCTATTTTATCTCAATTTACAACATGTGCTTCTAGCAAAAAGGCTGGATTATTAATGGCTGCACCCGAAGATGGCCAAGAATGAGTCAAGTGGCAGTACAAAGGTTGCTGGGTCATTTGTGACTCTCAGGCCCTGGGTGTCACAGGAGGACTGTGCTCCAAAGACTTTCAATGGCCTTTTTTCCTCAGAATTAAGTCCAAGATGCATCTGGATGAATTGATGCCTCCATATTTTGATTGGCATGGAGCTCTGGTGGAAAACCCAAAGGCAGGTGCCTCCGTGACAGTTTGAATCCATGAGCCACTCCAAAAGGGAAAAATAAGCAATCTCCTCCCATGTGACTTACAGCCTCAGAAACTCAAAGGAAGGTCGGCTATGGATTGGCTCAGTCTCAATGGCAATGAGTTTGAGTTTCGAGATTTTAGGTTAGGAACTGAGCACATTCACCATTCACACAACCCAGGAGGTGGAGAGTTTATTTTAAAGAAAAGAAAAAGAGGACACTATTAAAGACCTTACTTATGGTTAAAAGAGGTCAAATAGTATAGAAATAAAAATAGAAGGTATACATACCCTTGCTCATCTGGGGCTGAATATCTTCATTTATGTCCAAATCTTCTAAAGTTAGAAAATTGTCTATCTAGAATACAATTATAATCATCATTTTATGCGAATCAGGATGAAAGGAGAAACGCAATTGCAACTAAGAGTTAATGATTCCACTTCCACAACAACACTCAATTGAGTCCCTGAATCTCTCTATCTCATGATTTGTGACCCAGCACAGAGCCTTTGTGTTCACTGGACACTCTCAAAGATGTCTGAAAGCAGTGTAAACTTGGATATTGGCCTGGATTTTGTGGGCACCTTAGAAATATCTCTATATTCAAAAGGAAAAAAAAAAGTTTGGAGATATTTTTGAAAAGGGACCTTTCCCCAAATTCTATCCCAGATTTTATGTGAAAACTATGAGAGAGCTCTGGTAGGCAGTATGTATGGAGTTGGTCACATTGCTAACTAAAAGGTCATAACCCTCGCAGTTCAAATCCACCAGTCGCTACCTCAAAGAAAGACAATCTCCTCCCAGGTGATTTACAGCCACTGAAAACCAACTGGAGGGTCAGGTACAAGTCTGTGACAACTTGATAGAAATGAGTGAGTTGAAGGTACCACAAAATGGAGAGCACAAAACATTTTTAGGTTTTTTATTTTTACCTAAGTTCTCACATCAACAGTAATGATGAATCTGAATGCTTCCTTGTAGCATGATGAGTAAGGGAGAAGATACCAAAGAAAGCAGGCGAGAGAAGTTCATTCACAACAAAATCATCCTGCCCCAACTAATGCACAAGAGAGGTGAGGAGGGCAAAATGATCAAGTGGTCTCTCTTTGGGGCAAATAAAACTGAAAATTACTTCAAAGGTTTAAGCAGAGCAAATGACTTCTACAGACACAACAGCAGCATTTTAGGGAACACCATTCCACACTGAATACTGCTTTCCACAGCAAACAGACAATGAGGTATCTTAGAGTAACACAATGATAACATTTCAGACACCAACTAAATCGTTTCAGGTGATTACCAGAGTGTAAATAAAATTGTTTCATTACTGGTACAAATGAGATCCAGTAAAGGCTTACTGCCATGTGCATTTTATGCCCCATGACCTAAAACACATGTATGATGACAAAGTAAATGAAAATTACAAGGCTAAATTTCATAATTGGGATTTAAAAGATAAGCTGAGTCTTTTTTCCCCAAACTTGACAAGCCAGACCACGGTTACCACATAAGACATAGATGTGTTATTCCTATTGTTTCTGAATACATAATTGTCATTATTCCTTGGCACCCAATGACAGCAACGCAGGCATCTTCCATGATGTGACAGTAACTAAAACTTGGGATCTCCTGTATTATGTTGTTGTTGTTGTTGTTGTTGTTGTTGTTGTTATGTACCGTGGAGTTGGAATTGACCTATAGCTGACCCTATGGCAGGTTTTCAGAGACAGTAAATTGCACAGGAGGAGACTGCCCATTCTTGTCCCATGGAGCAGCTAGTGGATTTGAACCGTGTGCCTTTGAGCTCAGCTTCTTGCCACAAGGACACCAAAGCTTTCTCTGTTGTATTATAATTTTCTTAATCGTATATGCTAAGGGGAATTAGAATACTATTCTTCTACCAAAGTATTCTTCTCAATTGCTACATTTTGGTGGAAAATATCCAGAGTTCAACTAAGCAAGGATATTGTGATGGACTCAAATACCAACCTTTTTAAAAAAAAAAATTACTGCTGAATTCTCCCACACTGTGCAAAAATAAACAGTCCTACTTTTCTGCTGTGGAACAAAACTGGATCCTGCCTTACCTTTACCTTTCCTGCCCAATTCAGATCACCTTGCAAAGAACTGCCAACTCTTTTGCTTTCACCCATCACAATCTGAAAATACAGTAAAGACATACTGATGTCAAAATAAAAGGACAAGATATAAAGGCATTGATCTTGTAAGCCCTTCAGACAATAAAACTATCCCCCTCCAATTTTTATTATTTAACAATGCATAATGGGCCACATTCACTAAGCCACAGCAGTGGTCAGGCAGAAGCCTTCCAAAGGTCTGACTCCCACTTCAGTCCTCTAGATACCAGGTAACCCAGGTAACCCAGAGGAGAAGACTCAACCTCTGCTTACTCATCTGTAAAATAGGAACAGTCTCTCCTCATCATTAGCCCACCTTCTAACCTATCCCATCTCAACATACCTCTGCAGGACAAATTTTCACATTATGAGAAGACAATGACACTCAGCTCCTGCTTCTCACTTGCTGGTCAAATATAATATGTAATATAATTCAAAGATATACAAACTAAATTGGTAGTTTGTTGTGTTTGAGGAGAACCTTGTTCTAATTGGTACAGAACTTGTCTTTCAGATTGTTGTACTGGATAATTTGTGGGTTACTGTGATACTAAAAGCTGTGCCATTTGTGTGTCAAATGCCCTAAGGGTTACCCATAGTGGACAGGTTTTAATAGAGGTTCCACATTAAGACATGCTAGGAAGCAGACTGGCCATCTACTTCTTAAATAAGAGGTCTCTGAAAACCCTATCAACACAGTGACTGCCACAGTGGACTCTAGAGCATCAGGAAGTGTGTCGATGGCACAGGATAGGATAGGGTTCGGATCCCCTGTTCATAGGTTCACTATGAGTCATACTTGATTCTATGGCACCAGCAACAGCAACAATGACTACCAGGAGGTCAAAAAAATCTTCCAATGGAGGGAACAAGAAAAATGTTTCATACTCAGAGTCAACTTGGGGGCCAAAGTTCTAGAAATAATTATGGATTTCTACTGTAAACAAATATATTTCTAATAGAAATATTTGTTTTCTTTTCTAAAGTCACAATATCAGAAACAGTTCTATTCACATTTCCATAGGTAAGATTTGATTAGATAAAAAGCAGAAACTCTAATAACTAATAGAGATGCTTCCATTATAAGGGCTCCCTGATAATTCAAAACCACAATAAAAGAGTCTTAAAAAGAGCAGGCAATATTTATTGACAAACTCATGCAGCAGAAAAGATGGATAATAGATTCTGCTAGGCATCTGAGAGAAAAGAATCTAGGAATGGTAAAAGAGAACGTTCCATTTTACAAAAAGTTGGAAAAGAAAACTTTTATCTCAAAGAAAAGTTAAAGGAAATATAATTTGAAGAATACTTTCTAAACAATTGAGCATTATATTTTAAAAGAAAATTGAAGATTAACCAAGTTAGGTCAAACACACTGGCTGGGGGGGTTGTTGGGCTGGTGAAAAAAAAAACAACAAAACAACACTGGCTGGTAAAATCAGGAAATGTAATAATGATGTTCAATGAAGTATCCCAATGAAACGCCTAGAATTAAGATTCTTAGTAACTGATTCAATAACTGTCCAGTATTTTTATGGGGTTTCCCCCCCCAGTTCATGGAAAAAAGCTTCTTTTCTTTTATATTGTTTCTATAAATTTGCTATCTTATTACCTGTTCTTCTTCTGAACACTGAGATGAAGTATGAAGAAAGGCCGTTTTGGTTCTGAGATGATGGTCATTTGGTCCCATTTTAGGAATGCACTTTGCTGCGGCAACTACATTTTCAGAACAATCAGCTCCAAATGCTCCCTTTTTGGTCCCATTATCCTCTGAAATGATAAGCAACATGATACCAGGAGACATTTACCACACCCTGACTGGTTTACTTTATTGGGAAACTTTGTTTCAAAATATGAATACCTTTCAAAGAACTCCTAACTACTGTATGCTGGAGGCATTGCATACACCTTAACATTACAAAGTTTATTCAACAAATACTCTAACTCTGGTAGTCTAGCTTGTAGGGAGTTTGCTCCTAACCCAAAGGGCACAACTATCTGGTGGTTATAATGTACCATCAGCTGCAACCTCAAAAACCCAATGAAAGATCACCTTTAGAACATGATTAGGTATTACTGGCATGACAAGAGTCCAGAATAACAATGTTATTGTTGTTAGGTGCTGCTAAGTCAAGTATGATGTCTAGTTACCCTATCAAAAATAGAGCTGAACCCTGTCCTACCCTCTGGCAACATTCTGACACATTAGAACATTTTGCTATAGTCAGTGTGTCGAATCCATCTGGTTGAAGGTCTTCCTCTCTTTCGCTGTCCCTCCACCTTTCCAATCATGATGTCCTTCTTCAAGGAGCCTCTCCTAGCAACATGCACAAAGTATGCAAAATGAAGCTTCACTATCCTTGCCTTCAAGGAGCTTTCTGGCTTCACTTTCTCTAAGACATACTTGTTTGTTTTTTGGCAGTTCATGTGATATTCAATACTTCCCTCCAATACTGTATCTCAAAGGAATCAATTCTTCCTCTGTCATTCTTATTCATTGTCCAGCTCTGAGAGGGGCAGTGACTGAAAAGACCATTTCTGAGTCAGGCACACCTTACTCCTCAAACTAACATTATTGCTCCTCATTAGTTTGGTCTGTGACTGCAGACTTTATCAGTGCAATATATCTCCTAACATCCTGATCCAGTATACTTACTGTGGATCCAAGAAAAAATGAAGTCATTGATAGTTTCAATCTTTTCTCTATCATCTATCATTATCCACCTATTAGTCCAGTGATGAGAATTTTTGTTCTGACGTTGAGATGTAATCTATATTAAAGGCCACAGTGCTAATACATACTAATATCATTTTATACATTTTATTACTATTAAACATAGTAATACTATTTTATTATAGTTTATAGTAAGATTAACTTGACATATAGTAATATTATTTTATTATAGAATAATAAGAAATTATTTTTCACATTATTGTATCTTTCTATACTATCTCTATATGCAGAACAGATTATCCAAAAGGCTGGGCTCTATGAGGAGAAATGTAGTATCAGGATTGGAAGAAGACTCAACAATCTGTATTATGCAGATGGCACAACCTTGCTTGTTAAAACTAAGGAGGGCCTGAAGCATTTGCTACAGAAGGTCAAGGACTGAAACCTTCAGTATGGATTGAAGCTCAATATCAAGAAAACAAATATTCTCATCACTGGGCCGACTGTAAGCATTATGGTAGATGGTGAAGAGATTAAGACTGTTAACCACTTTAGTTTGCTTGGCTCCACAATCAGTACTCTTGGTGCCAGCAGCCAGGAAATTAAAAGGTGAATTGCATTGGGAAAGTCTGCTGTCAGAGACCTCTCCAAAGTACTGAAGAGCAACGATGTCAGTCTGGAAACTAAGGTGTACCTGATACAAGCCATGTTGTTGTTGTGTTATGTGCCATTGAGTTGCTTGTGACTCATAGCGACCCTATGTACAACAGCCCTAAACTCTGCTCTGTCCTGTGCCAACTGCACTGTCTCCGATACACCCATCCCGATTATCCCAGTCACTGAATCAATCCACCTCATAGAGGGCCTTCCTCTCCTGTGCTGTCCCTCCACCCTACCAAGCATGATGTCCCTCTCCAAGGATCAATCCCTCCTTACATGTCCAAAGTATATCAGACAAAGCCTCAGAATCCTTGTCTCCAAGGAGCCACCCAGTTTAACCCTCTCCAGGATGAATCTGTTTTCCTAGCAGTCCATGGTACTCTCAGTACTCTTCTCCAGCACCACAGATCAAAGGCATCAATTCTCCTTCTATCCTCTCCTAGTCATTGTCCAACTCTCTGATTGCAAGACCATGACCTGTATCAGACACACCTTAGTGTCCAGAGAGACATCATTGCTTTTCAGAACTTTGGAAAGGCCCCTAACAGCAGACAAGCCATGGTGATGAGGTAAGTGTGTTAGAGGCAATAAGACTGGCACAGGATAGAGCAGGGTTTAGGACTAATAGGGTTGCTATGAGTGACAGGCAACTCAAGGGCACATAACAACAACAACAACATTTTAATAATTATAGAGAATTCCACTGTATAAATGATAAATAGTTCAACTAATACTTTATTCTTGTTTGTTCACAATTATAAATTAGGAACTCTCTCATCTTAAATCTATGCACATTCATGATTACCTCGCTGGAATAAGAGTCTAATATTAAAGACCAGATTTTTTTTAAAGACCAAATTTAAAGACAGACTATTATATCACAATGCCGTGAACATAAATGGAGTGAAAAATGAAAGGGAAGTAAGTTTTGTGATGAAATATTAGTTTGGTCATGTTGGATTTGAAGTATCAAGTAGAAATTATGGTAGAACTGTCCTGGGGACAGACATTTCAGTAAACTAGACTAAAGTGATTAAGTAAACAATAAAATTCTTTGTAATAGTTGTCATAATTTGCTGCTGTCAAGTCAATTCCAACCCACGGTGATCCCATGTGTTACAGAGTAGAATTTCCATGGCTGTAACTTTAATGAGAGCACTAATGGCTTCGTGGTCTTGAACTGCACTGCAAATGCAAAGCTATGTGGCTTGAACCTACCAGCCGCTCCACAGGATTAGGCTGAAAACATACCACCCTAGTTTTTCCTATACAGTACTTCTGAGCAGATTCAAACTATAATCCATTTGGTTTTCAGTAGTAATAATAAAACATATTGGCACAGAATAGAGCAGGGTTTAGGGCTGTTGTACATAGGGTTGCTATGAGTTGTAGGCAACTCAACAGCACACAACAACAATAAAGGCTAACATTTACTTGGTACCAGACACTCTCATGAGCATTCCATGAATTATCTCATTTAAGTCTAACAACCCTAGTGATAGCTCCTGCTTCAACCCACACTTGACTGTTGCTGGGAACCATCAAGTGAATCCTTCTCTTGATGAGTCACTATGAAGTGATCCTAAATGACAGAGGAGGATTGCTTCATCAGATTCCCTACAGTGTTCTGTTCTCTCTCTCTCTTTTTTAATATTGGTTTGCGTACAAAATTCATGTGCATTGTGTTTCACACTATTCTTAATTCCTATTGTTTCATATAATCATTCCCATGTTTTTATATTTATTAGATCATGACCATCATTACCCTGTCTTTTCACCTGGATACTTCCCATTTCCTTCACCCCTTTCCTCCACCTACCAAAAAGTACAACCCTGTGGTTTAGCCCCCTACCCATCCTTACCCCTCCACTGATACCCCTTCCCTCCTTGGGCTCGCATACATATTTAATTAGTTGTTGCTGTTGTTGTTGAGTACCATGTAGTCAGAACTGAGCCATAATTGACCCTCCAGCAGGTTTTCAGAGGCAGTGATCACACAGGAGACTGCCCATCTTTCTCCTGCAGAGTAGATGAGGGATTCAAACCGCATGCCTTCAAGACTGCAGCACAGGTTCTTACTAGTTATCCTTCTATTTTTACAACAATGGTCTTATGCAGTATTTGTCATGAGGTGACTGAGTTAGTTTACTCAGCAGAAAGAGATCATCAGGTATTCTCTCCCATAGAGTTGCTGTTGAGCGAACAATCAAGTTTTCAGTTAGTGGTTGAGAATGGAATCATTCAGCTTCCAGTTTCCTCATTCCCATCTTACATACAAATAAACCAAGGTCACAGAGAAACTGTGTAACTTGCTTAAGGTCAAAGAGCTGAAAAAAAAACAGAGCAGAAATCTGAACCCAAGCCTATCTAATGCTGGAACCAGTATTCCTACCCAGTGTGCGATTTGAAACGGTATAATAAGTCAAAGAAGATGATCCTTACAGAAGCTGAAGAAAAGCTCAGAAAGAAGGCAAAGAAGGAAGAAGAGTGCATAGTACATTCCAAAATGGCAAGAGCAAACACTAAAATCACTCTCGGTGATCACTAGAAATGTGATGTTATTGTAAGGAATGACTGAGTCCATTTCAATTCACACCAGCTTCAAGTGACACAATGGTTAAGCACTTAACAGCTAACTGAACAGCTGGTGCTTTGAGCTTACCCAGTGACTTCTTAGGAGAAAGAACTGTCAATCGGCTTCTGTAAAGACTGTAGTCAAGAAAATCCTGTGGGTATACAATCTCACCTGAGGTCACTATGAGCTGAATCATTGTTGTTAGGTGCTGACCAGTCAACCAGAAATCATAGCAATCTTATCAATAATAGATCTGAACCCTGCCCTATCCTGTGCCATCCTCGTCATCTCTGATATACTTGAGACCACTGATTGAGTCACTGCATCAATTCATCTCATTGAGGGTCTTCCCCTTTCTCGCTGACCCTTCACCTTTCCAAGCATGACATCTTTTTCCATCAATATGTTGCCCAGAAGAGACACATTTAAGAAATCAGGAGAAAGATAAACTAAAAATTAAAGGTGGGCATATACCAACCAAACGGTGTATATATAAGAAAGCTGGAGTGGCAAAACTAGTCTCTGATAAAATAGGTTGAAGGAAGAAAACCACCAAAGATAAAGAAGGACACTATGTAACAATTAAAAGCACAATAGATCACAAGGATATATCCTTAGTTAAATCTACACACCAATCTATGATAGATCTACAAAATATGTAAACAACTATTTATAGACTTTAACAAAGAAATAGAGAACAGTGCAACAGTAGTAGATTTCAAAATACCACTTTTACCAAAAGACAGGTAAGAAACTCAACACAAAACAACTATGAGATATCAACTCATCCCAGTAAGAATAGCAAGATTTAACAGAACTGCAAGCGACAAATGCTGGCGAGGTTGTGGAGAAACTGGAACC